ATTGTAGTAATATTGTAGTTTTATATTTAAGTATTTAAAGTTAGGGGGTGAGGGGGGCGGAGCCCCCCTCGAGTTGATAAGTACTGGATAAAATCATATCCCCCCCCATGACAAAATCCTAAATACGCCACTGTACCGCATCAATATCATAAATAATTACATCTTTCTCTACAGTCTACGTTATCGCATGTTTTTATTTAGAACTTATTCAGCAGGCATTTATTTATAAAGGGGGGTTCACACTATACCGTGTCGTGTAAAATAATCACGGTTACCACAGTTACCAAACGATACCGCATAGTTGAATATATTCAACTTTTGACCGTGTGATGGTTACATAGGCGCACATAGGGGGGTGCTTGGGGGTGCTTAGCACCCCCAAGCTTCAAACTAGCACCCTCAGTTTATTTCAGTATTTCACCAATCATTTATAAACTATCGTGGTTTATTGGTTCGGAATTTTTCTTTTCATTACAAATATTGACAACTGTTTACGAATTCACGAATTCATTTTTTTTTTTTTTGTCTGTCATCATCTTTTAGGACAGTAAAAGTGCTTGGATTTTCTCCAACAGTATCTTTTCTGATAGGAAAGTGAATCTAGTTGGTACTTTGGGGGGGTCAAAAGCAAAAATTTCACAGTAGTTTTCAAAAGCGCCGTGAAAAACAACAGAAAAATTAAGGAAAAACGGGAATTTTTACGCAAAATCTGTTTTCGAGAAAATTGATTTTGGTTTTTGATGTAACTTTAAAACAAATGACCGTAGATATATGAAATTTTCACTGGTTATTTATATTTCCATTTTCTATACATAATAAAATTTTCTAAATATTTTGAGTTATTTTGAGCTTTTTACGGACATTTTTAGTTTCCATTTTTTTTAGTTTTTTTTTCTATAAGTATCAATAAAATTTTATTTGTTGGGTATAAAAGCTTAAAAAATTAATAGAAGGCTCCTTATATATTATTTCAAAGATAGATGAAAAATATTAAAAATCCTTAGTCACAGTTTTTTGTTATAAGCATTTATATTCCAAATATTGACAAAATACGTGAAAATGACGAAAATTTGAAAATTATTTCGAATTAGAAATTCATAAAAATTTTTCTTTTTAAATCTAAGATATGAAAATGTAATGCAAGATTCCTCATAAGTTTGTCTACCTTTATCAAAAAAAAAATGTTTACGAGTATCTCAAATTAAATTTTTATGAACGTTTGAAATTCATATTTTTACAACATTTGATATTCACTCGATTTCTTATGTAACGATTTTCTAATTTTGTTGTAATTAAAAAACGAATGACTGTAGATACTTGAAAATTTTACTAAATTTTTATATTAGCATTTCCTATACACCATATAGTTTTGAAAATATTTTGATTCTTTTTGAGCTATTTACGGACATTTTCAGTTTTCAATTTTTTTAATTATTTTTTCTATTCATATCAATAAAATTTTATTTATATGGTAAAAAAGCTTGAAAATTTAATGCAAAGCTCCTGATATATTGTTACAATAACACTTGAAAAATATTAAAAATATATAGGCACAATTTTTTTTTATAATTATTTAAAATTCAAATTTTGACAAAATTTATCACATTTAAAATTTAATAATAATTTTATAGTTAAAAATTTATAAAATGTTCAACTTTTATAGCTAATGATTGAAAATGTATAACAAGATTCTACGTAAATAGGTTATATATAAATTGCTTTATTCACCTTAGTATCATCAAATATATACTTAGTAATATCATAGGCTGACCAACCGTCTTCGCTCAGAATCGTTTTTCTTATACAATGATGTTAGTATATCATTGAATTCAAATTTAATACCATCGAGTATACAGTGACCCACTTGTACCCTACTCTACAGCAGAGCACCTTTTTTTGTTTATCAGACTTAAATAACTTTTATTTTGGTTTTAATATCGGAAATATAAAAACAAAGTTACAGAGTAAATTTTCTCATTTTTATAGTGTGAACATTTAGTTTCTTAGCTTAGAGTAGAGCCTGAATGTTTTTTATACCCGTGCAAAACAGTTTTGCCTATGTTGTAAATACATCTGTAATACGGAGACAACACATGTGGCTTACCTAATGTCGCGGTCGGTATTTCGGCGACGCCGAAATACCGGCCGCTACGTCTTTCGTGTCACCCGCACGACGCGCTACAGTCGGACGGCAAGTGGAGGGGACTCGGACGTCGGCAACGACACCCGACCTCGCCGCCGGCCGGGGCGCCGGGCCGACTGTCTTGTTCCGTCCGCGTTACAATACCTATTACCACCGTTTGTAATAACGAGTTGTCAATAACTAAAAGTGCATAATAAAGTATTAAGTGTATCAAGTGTGTTGTTTTTGTCCGTGTCACCCTGACTTTCCTCTACCACGTCCAGTACACCGTGTCAGTGGCGCGGCGAGGTCGGGTGTCGTTGCCGACGTCCGAGTCCCCTCCACCTGCCGTCCGACTGTAGCGCGTCGTGCGGGTGACACGAAAGACGTAGCGGCCGGTATTTCGGCGTCGCCGAAATACCGACCGCGACACTAGCGTCTTCTTTACAATCATACAGACTATTTGATACAGGGGCGTAATTACGGGGGGGGATATGGGGGATAGATCCCCCCCCATGAGCTGTATTTATATATTGTCTTATACCTACAAATAGTTCAAATAAAAACTTATAAATTATTACGAAACTAAAAAAAAAAAAAGTTTAGAAGTTGTGTACCCGTATATAAATATTTACCCGTTAACGATAAGCATGATTTCAAAATAAATGGTCTGATTCATTTTAATTCTTATTTATTAATAAACATTGGGTGCCTTGCCACACACTATACCTAATTTTGAATAGATTATAGATGGTAAGTAATCCGATAATTTGAAAAACCACCATTCCATAAACATAATATAATAATAAAAATGTAACTAAGATTTACATTTCGTAGAACGAATAATAGCCATAGATACTAGGTACTAAGAACGCGCGCCGACACAAAGTATCTATCTACATTGATTATTGCGATTACGTATAAACAGTAAACACTACACAGTAGGTATACACACCGACACACCACACACCGTGTCATTCTCGCATATTCACAGTGTCACTGTGTCAGTTACATTTTTATAAGCTAAAAGCAAAATGGAGCAAAAAAAAAGAAAATTACCAGCAACTAGCAGTACTTTATTGAATTTTTTTAAAAAGAAGCCTGGGCCTGACGTAAGTATTACAATTTAAAATACTAAACATTATTAGACCCGGAATTAAATGTTTAAATATTATGTATGACGTATTCAACTTATTATAAAAATTAGCATTACAACTCGCGCTAAAATTATGCAAAATTAAATTAACACCAGTTAAAAAAAGTACCTATTAAAAATATAATTGCAGTCACTGCAGTTCATTCAATAACTATTAGTTATGTCATATTAATTATCATAAAACATTTAAATGAGTTTATTAAAATATTAAAACATATTTGTAAATGTATAATGTTATGTAATATAGAATGATTATATTTAGATGTGTTGAGTTATTAAATTATACAAAATATAGATAAGGGGGTGTGGGCCGTGGGGGCAAAGGCCCCCACAAGTTTACCCTACAAATTTATTTTGATCCCCCCCCCCCCATTAAACATTCTCAGTTACGCCACTGATTTGATACATTGCACTTTAGAAATTATTGTATACACTATACAAATTAAATCTAATGCAATGCAGAAATATTAGGATTAGGGGGGTGTGGGGGGCTTCGCCCCCCACGGATCTGTGAACCATAAATTATCCCAGCACCCCCTAAATTCACACCCAATGTGCGCCTATGTGTGGTTACATTTATGTGCAGATAAAGCCGGGTTCATACTTAATGTAACCACACGGTCAAAAGTTGAATATATTCAACTATGTGGTATAGTTTGGTAACTGAGGTAACCGTGATTATATTACACGACACGGTGTAGTGTGAGCCCGCCTTAAGGGGCCTGGTCGCGACCTGTTTTTTTGCTCAAAAACATGCCTTACAGGAAAAACTCTCACGCCTTGTAGATTGGTCCGATTTCCGTAATTTTTTTTTTTGTTAAATAGAGGAAGACGTATTGCAGGGAGCATTGGACTTGGATTTTCAAAATTATTTTTCGAAATCTTATATTACAAGTTTGAATTTAATCCATTTTTACAACTTTTTAGTTTTTGTATTATTATTTATTTTTAGCAACGTAATCAAAAATCAAAGTCCAATGCGCCCTGTAAAAATATTCTTCTATCTAACAAAAAAAAAATTACGGAAATCGGACCAATCTACGAGGTGTGAGAGTTTTTCCTGTAAACTGTGTTTTGACCGATATAATAGACCCTATCAACCCCCCCTAAATAGGTATTGGGTAGTAGATTAGTGGAAAAGTCTTATAATTGAGGTGGCATTGTGGCAACTAAAATATAAAATTTAATTTTCAAATTTTATAGAATTGCGGAAAATTTGAAAAATCGCGACCAGGCCCCTTAACAGTCCACAGCGGACGGCTTGCTATACAAGTTATAATATGTGTTTATTAATTATTTATAACTGTTTTTAATTAAAATATCTACAAGTCTACAAGATAATAATAACATAATAACATAATAATCGATTTTAAATTCACATTTGTAAGCTAGCTACTCACTACTATAAATTCATTAGTTATTAAATATTAATGATAACATTTATTTATAAATTTATGACAATATCAATGATTGAATATTTTTATTCATGTTGTGATTTAAATCCGTTTTGAAAATGTTATATTGTGTTTTATACTTGGATGTAAAAAAAAACATTAAGTGGGGGCCCTCAATTTGTGGAGGCCCGGGGCCCCGGCCCCCCCATAAATCCGGCCCTGCTTATTAGTTATTACATTCGTGCGGCGATCTCGTCGACGTGCCAGTTGTTATTACATACCGTCGTTTGTGCGCGCGCGCCCCCGTATATATGTTGCGCAACAGGTGATGATGAAGAAATGTCAGCACCGGTACACGATGACGTGCCTGAAACTGGACCTGATCGACTGGCTGGGCACGGCTTTTCAGCTGGTTCCTGGAGTGTCGCTCGTCCGGGCTGCAGACGGCAACCAGACGACGGTCACCGGCGACGGCGGTGGAGGCGGTCACCATTATCAACAGAACCAGCACCATCACCAGCATCACCATCACGGCGGCATACCTCCGGACGTGGTCAGGTCGCTGGTCCGGGGCAACGATTCGGCCGATGAGCTGGATGGGTACCTGATGGAAAAAGCCGACGCGTACCCTCAACATACTGCCCACCGGATTGCTGGAGACAGGTAATAATAATCGTCACTCGTTACGTAACCCGTTAATATACTTACACCCGTTATCATCCCTTATGTTCCGTCTATAATATCTATAATAAGCATGTGATTGTAATACGTATATTTTGTGATGAACGATAATAAACAAAGTATTTACTAGTTTAGATGCTTTTCTAAAAAATATTCTCCTGCATGATTATAATATGATGTACAACAATTTATTATTATAATACTCGAAGATAAAAATATAATGCGTACAATTCACAATAGTATTATAATATATTTTTCAATCTCGTCGAACGACAAAAATTTTTTTTTACTTTTCGACCTCCTCCCTTACTCGGTCGTTTTTTCGACTGTCGTCGACCTAACGGTTTTCATGAATCGATTAATAATATCAAGCTTTCCGTGTTTTTCAACGCGAATTCATCCGTGTCGGATACATTATTATTATTATAATTTTTTTGTTTATATTGAAATAATATAATGGTATCGGTTTGTCACGTAACCCTAAACTGTTGAAAATAATGACCTTTCCATGAATTACGTATGAGAACAATTATTATTATGTGTAGATTGGATCAAACCAGAATTAAATTATAAAGACGTAAAAGTGGTCACGATAACGTATTACCTATATGTTATGAGTAGTATATATATACCAGTCCTGGCGCACCTCATAATATATCAGTAAAAGATCACAAAGAAAACAATGTGCAAAAAGATCAGAAAATTGAAATGCAATAATAATTAAAAAATTTTTCGCAAAACTTATGAAATGCAATAATAATAAAAACATTTTTCACAAAACTTATGAAATGCAATAATAATAAAAATATTTTCCGCAAAACTTAATTATTAAAAATAAAAATCGAAATGCAATAATAATTAAAAAAATTTTTCGCAAAACTTATGAAATGCAATAATAATAAAAATATTTTCCACAAAACTTAATTATTAAAAATAAAAATCGAAATGCAATAATAATAAAAACATTTTTCGCAAAACTTATTAAATACACCCAAAATATTTTTCATAATACTTATGATATTAATAATTAAAATATTTTTTAATAGAATTGTTCTATTAAAAAAAAGTCCAACAACAAACTAGTGAACATTAAATATAGTTTTCAAACCAATTATTCATTATATGATTCGATAATTCATTATGAATTTTCTTAAAATAATCAAATAATTTCTTAAAATTGTTTTGGTAACGATTGTAACTATACTTATTATCATAAGATTGATATAAAGATGATACATGAGTTTCTAAACTATACATAGATGATTCAATTTCTGATAACTCTTTTAGTATATTTTTATACTTTTGGATCATATCTAAATGATTTTTACAAGTTTCCATTTCTAAAAGTTTTTTACAATTTTCCATTTCTATTATTTATATTAGTAAAAAAAATTTTTTTTAACATTGTTCTATTAAAAATATTTTTCTAATCTTTTTGATTTTGATTTCTAATCAGTGTATTGAGATGGTTTACAAAATCGTTTCTATCTATGTTTGTTTTATAATGTCCCCAAGCTAATGTATCAATACCATTTTCCAAAATAAATCTTTTATCATCATAAACACTTAAAGCTTTTTTGTTTTGTTCTACAGTAAAAATATCATGTTTCTTAGTTCTAAATAAATTTTGTTTAACATATTTTGATTCTTTTGTTAGTAAACATTTTTCAAAATCATTAAAACATATTTTATTTTCTACAACATTTTTTTTAACACCTTTAGCTTTTTTAATTTCTTTTTCAGTATCTAAGATTCGATGAGAATATAATTTAGATCTTAAACCTATAAATTCAGACATTATTTTTCCATTTAACTCATCTTTAAACTTGCCTAAAACTTTTTTGTTAACTAAAGGTAAATCATAAATATTATCTTTTGGATAATCTGAAGTGTCAAAATGATCTAACATAATTTTCATATCTTGATAAAAATCTTTAGTTTTTATTTCTAATATTAGTGAATCTGTATCTGTATATAACAATCTAACTCTATTTACATATTTTTTCTTTATAATATTATAATAAAAATCATACATTAACATTTTAGATAAATCTAAAATACACATTCCTATATATATTGGTTGTTTGAAAGATATTTGTGTTCTTTTCATATGTACGGCAGCTAAATTTTCTGTAAAAATTGTCCTTCGATCAAAATTTGGTTTTGTAATTAATTTTTCTAGTTGGTATGCATTAGAACATAATCTTATATCAACATGATTTCTAACATTCATCATAGTACGTCCATAAACACTATTATTCATTAATTTGAAAAATTCTTTTTCAAACTCATTCTTAGCTTCTGATCTAAGATTAGTATTAAAATCAATATAAACTTTTAACCAAGGAGATTGACTAAATTCTAATACTCTATGAATTTTCTCTATCTTTAAACCTAAATTAATATATAATTTTAGTGTTTCATAATGTATTATATATTTTTTCTTATCATACAAAGTTGTTAATAATTTTGGGAGTTGTTTGTTATCAAAATGTCTTTCTGGTGCTAAAGGGAAATCTGAATTTGAACTATACCTTTCGATACGTAGGTACTTGGACCATTTCGGGTTTTGAATCATCATACGTTATTATTACTAGTAGGTACCTGTATATTTTTAAGTAACCATTACGTAATTCTTGAACTATTCAATATTAACTCTTTATTTTAAAACTGGTAAATTACATAATATGGGGTTTTTATATAAACAAAAACACATTTTTGTTTGCATATCTAATTTTAACGTAAATTGTACTTTAACTAAAATATAAGTAAGCACAACATTTAGGTTACGTTACTTCCTCATACTTATGTAATACGATTGATATTATACAAATACCTATACAGGATTTTTCAATGGGGGGGGGGGGGGGCTTGAAAATTAGCTACTATTTTATTTTTATTTTGTCCAAGCTAATAATTTCAGACGTTTATTTGAGGTATTTTAAAATGTTTGTAATTTTTCATCTTTTCTTGTAGAAAAAATAGTCTGATCATAAGCTTCGATGCCCAGTGTATGTTTTTGGAAGCAAATTGGATCTAGTTGGTACTTTTAGGAGGTCGAAATTGAAAATGCTCAGTGCTTTTAAAAATAATTGGAGAAAAAAAAATGAAAATTTATTTAAATTGTTTGGTAACAAGCTTGGTTATACCGTCCTCACTTGGATTGTATTTGATTAATTAAATTTTTTTTTCTATAAATGTCAATAAAAAATTATTTATCCGGTCAAAAAGCTTAAAAATGTAATACGTAAGTTTTTTTTATTATAGCTAATGTATTAACGATACATAGGCATCATGGTTATTTTTTATAAGCATTTAAAGTTCAAATTTCGTCAAAACCACAGTTAATTTGTAGTTCAAAACTTATAAAATATAAAATATGTATAGCTAAGGCTAGACAATTTAATACGAGGTCTTTCATACAAATAGTTCATACTTTTACCGAATAGTTACAGATAATTTATGAAAATTGGTATGCAAATACAATGTTTTTCAAAAATGAATTCATTCTGGTAAAACATATTATATGAAATTTACGTCTTGCTTAATATAGTTGACAGTTCAAATTTGATTAATATATTTTTGAAAAAGTAATAATAATATTGGCAATGGGGGGAGGCTTCTTCCCGTTAGCCCCCCCCCCCCCCCCCCTGCGGACGCCACTGCAAATATAATATTTAACAAGAAACCAAAGGTTAATTTACTCATTATATTGAAAAAAATGTATCAATTGAATAATACTATATTCATTACCATCTACGACCTACTCGTATACCTAGTTGTATTACATTATTATTATATATGATTAGTAGAGAAACTCACTAGCAAAGACTTTCATGCATGTGCATAATTTTTTTCTGGTTATCTTAATCGTATGCTTCGTAAGTACACAATATATTTCACAACGTTTGTGATCTGCGTGATCAACGTTTTTGATGCATATTTTGACATTTTTGAGTTTAAAGGATATATTTTTGATTATAAGAGAATATTTCCTTTTTTTGGTTTTTGACAGTTTATCGAACATCAAGCACTTCTGTAAATATTTTACATGAATCAAGGTCAACAATTATATTAAATTTGAATAAATAATGAGATCTGCAGTATTGGCTGTATTATTGTTTTTTTATACATATAGGTAAGTACATAGAAAATTGAATTAAGAAAGTACCTAAAATATATAAAATATTTTTAGTGTAATATGGGCGGGTAATTTTTCTAGGGCATATTAATTAACTGCATATTTTTAGTTATTTGACGTAAAAGTGTATATTTTTAAATTAAATTAATACATAAATTATAAATATAATTAAAATATTATAATTTACAACTTTCTAATGTTCACATTTTTTTTTATCATCCCTAAAATTATTTTTGATTATAAAACGTGGTACTTATTAATTTAGTAAGTAGGTACATACAACAATAGTAGGTATACCTAATTGAATGATTATTTTTGTTATTAAAATTGGGTTGAGATAAGTGTAATAATTTTTCTTCTTTGTTTTTGATATACAAATTTACTAAAACGTTATAACTCACTTAAAAATTAAAATATCGTAAAAAACCAACAAGAGAACACGGATAATGTTGTTACCTAAAAGTTTGATAATAGGTCGATTCACTCTAATATCAAAACTGACAATACCCTATGGAAACTAGCAAATGAAAATTTGCTATGCCGTACTTGTGTAAGACGGAGACAACACATCCGGGTGAGACGTCCTATTAATGCAAATGCACTGTTGATCGGCAGACAATAAAATAAAATATAAAATATAATAATATAAATGTATAATTTAGAAAAACCAAACAATATACGTAGGTGTTATACAGAGTGTAATATTCAAAAATCAATACAAATAGTATTATAGTAAAACTACTGAAAATAAAATTACGTAGTTACCTAGGTCCTACATATTATAATACACAATATAAACTATAATACACTTCTAACTTCTTTAACTAAATATTATTGTTATTTTA